GTTTTGCATTGTCCTTCAGATATATTTCCGTTTTTGCTCTTTTTATTTCGGAAAGCCTCACCTCCAGTACATTATAGCGGAAAGGCGCTATTTATCAGAGGAAGAATACCCTCATATGGTCAATGAACCATTTATTAACGCAGATGAGAGTGATGATTCATTTTCTAAAGAGTTAGAAAGTGATACTTTTTCTAAGAATTAGAAAGTGATACTTCTCTGTACTTCGAGATTTACCACCGTCTTCATTTTAAATTTTGTTACTTCTAATTGTAAATAGTCTTTATTGTGTTGTTTTATTAATTTAAAATTTCATTGATGGATTTTATTAATTAAAACTTTCGAATAATTGTAATAGCGCTTCCAAAAATTATTTTACAAGACAAGCAATTTTTAAGTATATTTTCATGTAAAATAAAGAAAAAAGCGTTATTAAGTGCTAATTTTAACATATATAAAAGCTCAAGTAATAATCTAAAAGAATGCAGAAAATTAGGGTGCTAGAAGCGAAACTTTTTTTTTTTTTTTTTTTTTTTTTTCTGATCTTTTTTTATAAAATTAGGCTTAGCGATGCAAAACCTCCGTCCTGTAAGGTGACTGCCTTCGATTCCCTTCCATTCCGTACGAGCGTCTTAAACAAAGGTGCGCCGTCGCAAAAAGGTTAAAGCTGAAAATATTTTGAATGATGCAGTGATTATTTTTCAGCTTTAAACATCTATGGAAAGGAAGTAGCATGTTTCCATTGGATAGAAACTCATTTGCCAAGGGCCAGAAGTGGTGCATCTGTCTTTGCATGCAGTGTTGATGAACTGAGATTACCTGTTTATGTGTGGTGAATTTCTCATGTTATCCCTGCCAGCCTGGATTGAATAGGACCACTTAGCCATGGATCTAAACATGAATAAATCTAAATCTAAACTTTGACCATCTACCATTTAATTTGCATGTTCTTAGCTTCATCACTGCTGTCACTCGGGATGATCAGACGTGTTTCTCTTCTTTGGGAGCCCCCCCCCTTATGGAAAATGAAAAAGGGATTATTTCAGCATAAAATGATAAAATAATCCCATTTTATCATTTTATGCTGAAATCAGTTTGGCCCTTTTATATTATAGCACCCTCAATGAGAAATACAAGGGTGATATATACAAGCCATTCATTCAATGTTTGTATTCATTTTATTTAATGTATACATGCAGAAACTATTTAATATGAATTTGTGTATTTATTATTTATAATATAAATACACATTTTAATTTTTATTTTTTAAATCTTTATTTGGTAGAATTTTGTAAGCAATTTATTTAAATAAATGACCCATAAGAATATGTCAGAAACTCATTCTAAACAGATGCTTTCTGATGGTCATAGTTTAATAATATCAATTAAATATATTATAACATTAAATATGATGTGTTGCCTGAACAAAAGGTCTTCTGGGTTAGATTCTTGTCCCTTCTCTGTACGAAGTAAAAAAGAAGTATTGTAATCGCGAAAAATTTTGGGTATCCTATTTCAAAAAAATATCTATTTTCGCCACTATCAAATGCAATTTAACGATATTTTTGTGTGACATCTGTACGTAAGAACAGATTAAAAGACACTTTTCCCCAAAAAAAATTATAAAACTGATTTAAAATTAATTCTGAAGAGATATTTTCGTGGTGTCTGTCCGTACGTATTTGGCAAAACTCAAAAATGAGGAACCTCAGACTGTTGAAATTTTGTATGTAGGACTGCTATAACATGTAAATGTGCACCTCCTATTTTGGTTGCAATCGGCAACACCAAAAGTATATAAAAATACAGTCAAAAGTCTTTAATCCGGACTCGTCGGGACTTCGGCGATTCCGGATTATAGATCATCAGTTTAAATCTGAAAAGATGGCATGCAGAAATTATAAAATTAAAAATATTAAACGTAATTTATGAAATAAAGAGCAATTATGATCTAAAGGGTATCAAAATTTACAAAAAAAAAAAAAAAAAAAAGCTTAATATTTATTTGTTTATTTTATTAAACATTTCTTTCAACGTGTGCATGCGTAAAGCATACATTACGCATTGTCAAAATTAGAAAATTGCAACCAGAAAACTATTTGATGTGTATTCGTGGTATTTATAATGACGAGGAATTTGATTTAAATCATATCAAAGACGGAGTACATCGAGATGAAATACTACATTTAGTAAGGAATTATAAGCCGAATAAAATAAAAACATCTGCCCTGAAGATAAGGATAGTGCTGATAAATCAGCTTCCAGTTCGTTACGCGCCGTGACGTTCACCCCACACACACACGCAAAGCAGCGTGAAATTGATAAACAGATTTTGGAATGGTTAGAGAAACAAAGGAGCCTTTATCCGTTTTTTGCAGCAATTCTACTTTTTGTTTGCTGGACATCGAAACATTCTTTTCCTTTGAAGATCCAGCATCGGAAATTCTATTTGACATAATCGATAGTTCCAACTTACTTTTATAAAATTGCTCTAACAGTCTGCAAAAAATAATAAGCCGGATCCAGTTCGAAGATTGAGAAACAACGCAATCTGCAACATTAATTTTAGTTTAGCTTATACCGTCCATTATACATTAAACTCGCATGCGTTAACGCATATGCGCATGCGTTGATGCATGCGCAGAAAGTTTGTACCTTTGAGGTCCGGATTATAGATCATTCTGAATTATGGGTGATCGGATTAACAATTTTTGACTGTATATATATCCACTCTGTTACTGGGCTCAGTGAGTTCAGTTTCTTTATTTTGCTTTAAAAATGATTAAATTATGTTGTTCCAGTTAAGGTTTTTATGCCTATAGTTAACCTGCATGAATAATTGTGTAATTATCAACAATTTAAAAGTTTTTTAAGTGTGGCTTTTTTATTACCATGGCAGCCATCTTTGTTTATATTTGAAACTTAGCAGAATAGTAGATTTGTTGCCAATCTAGAGAAACTAAGCTTCGCAACAACAGTGTAATGTCTTTTTTTATTATGGTAAATTAAATTATGCTTAATTCATTCTGGAATTATCATTTAAGTTTTTAGCTTGTTTTTACATAGAAACTGTAATTTTAATTATAAAAAATAGTTTTTAATTGTTTTAACTGTACTTGGTGTTTTATGTTTTTCTATATCTTTCAAATTTTAATGAAAATATTTTGAGTTTTTATGTATTTTTGGCTTGCCGCTAAGTGAGAACTGAATTAATTAGTAGCGCATGCACATTAGATAAGCGGCGCTGAATCGTCAGCGAAAAACTGTTTCTTTTCTATTTGTTTAATTTCTTTTAGATATCATTTTAGATTTATTATAGTATTTGAATAGAACTTGTGGTAATTCTTCAGATGATATAATTTGTCTGCACTCTGAGTTATAAAATGAATGACATGTAATGCTTTTAAATGAACCAAGTTCTAAAGTGTTGCTATAGTAAATAACTATAGTGAACTTTAAAGAGTGCATTTATTCTATTGTGGCAGTGGCGTAGCTAAGATTCCAGCGCCTGGGGACAACTGAAGAATTTGCGCCCTTTTCTGTGTGCCAAGATTGGAAAACATGTCATTAAAAATATTTTGTAGCAGCAATTTGGAGCCACCTGGATGCTGTGCCCGAGGACAGATGTCCCCCCTAGCTACGCCACTGTATTATTGTTTATGCTCTATCCACGAAGTAGATTTAATTCAAAATTCGTTAACTGTTAATTGAATATGTTTAAATGAAATGCAGGAAAGTTGCATATAATTTAATATTCTGTACTAGGAAGTCGTGGTGTACACATCAGATTTTTTAAAATTATGCAAGGCCGTCAAACTGAAATGGTGGTTTTGTGATCTGACAAAATCTGTGAATCACTGTTATTATTATGTTCAGAGACCGCTCCTGACACATTTTTCTCACGTCACATAACCTTTTCTTAATTGATGCCTTCCCCTCCCACTGTCATAAAGGTAACTTTTTCTTTTCTCCTTATCTGCTCCCCAGTTTCATAATTCTGGATAACTGCTATCTTGGCAGATATACAAATACAGACATAACCATGCCAACCCAGACATACAGGTATTGCACACATGATCATTTCTTTTTAACATCTGTGCTTTTTAATTCCTGTTGCCACCCAGATGATATAATGATTAGTGATGCTGACTGCCACACTGATGGCTTGGTTTGAATCTCAGAGAAGGCAGGCATGGATGTTTGCAAGCATACAGTCTGTCTAGCATAAAAAAAAGCTCTCTCCAGTTAGTCTGCAGCTGTCTGTTGCCGTAGAAACGAGTCTTGACTCATTTTTCATAGGAGTGGCTTGAAGTTGAATGATACTCTTTACCCCTCAGCCAACAGTTGCCAAAAATAAAATAACAATATAACAACCTTTGGTTTGCCCCTATTTGAAATATTCTAGCCCTGTTGCTATAGTGACCGCCACCCTCGAGACTGTGTGGCGGGAGCTGTTCTTCTCATAGACAGAAAGTAGAGTGTCTTGTGTGAGTAGGTAGCACTCAAGTTTTGCTGTGATCTGAGAGTCCTTTCAAGAGGTTGATGGTAGGGGAACAGGTATGGTAGAACCTCACATTGTCTCCTGGGTTGCTGTCCTGAAAAGGGGGGGCTGAACATTTAGTGCACCTGTACAACCAGTATTGAATTTCTGGTGTCCCACCCACATCTATCTGTACCTGCCAATTCTTGTAAAACGGAAAATTTAAACTGGTGAACATATTAAATATTTAGTAATAAAAAACAAAAAATTCTTCAGTGACTGAAGAAAGATGAATTGTGTGCTTATGTGAAATGTAAACTAACATACACATATGCAGATTGGTAATCACAAACATTGAGTGAATTGCTTTTATTTATTTATTTCCCCCCCCCAAGGTTTAAAACATACCAATTCTAACTTCTTGGATGTAATATAGAAGTAGCAGTAACTCATGTTTTAATACTGTCGAAATTTTTTTAATTTCTATATTTTATTCTCATGCTTAAGATTTCTTAATTATTGTATTTTTAAACATTATAGGGAAGTTAAAACTGCAGGAAGTTATGTGGACTACTTGCACTCAGTTTCTGAATTTTATAACCCAAACTGGACTGCAAGTGTGATTGTCACCTTAAACATTGATAGATGTCGTCTTTATTCCATGCATGAAGTATGGGATGAGTAAGTAACTTGTATTCTGGCATTCTGAATATCTGCTTAAAATATTCTATATGATGTTGGACACTTCTTGCGTGAACAATTTTTCAAGTTGATATGAAGAATCAAACCATGTTTAATCAGCTCATATTTGTATTTAATCATATTTTATAGTAACTATGCATTAATTATTAATTTTATTTTTATCATTTTAAAAGTGCTTTAAGATATAAAAGTTTTCCATCCCTCCAAGTAGTTTGAGTTCCTGCTTTTCCTATGTATAAATGCATTAAAATATTAAAAATTCATATTAGTTGAAAAACATAAAATTTAGAATATCTAATTAAATAATATTAATATATGTTGTAATCAGAATCGTTCAGAAGCCTGAATCGTGCATTTTAAAGTGAACCTCAGTATGTTAGGAATACCTTCAAAATGCCATTGCTGTGCAGCTCGAAAACTTTCGGTTTTCACCTAAACAAATTTGATTTTTCAGATTTCAAGGTTAGGAGCTATATTTTAAAGTAAACTCTTATGCAGTTTTTATTTAGTTTTGACCTTGTTTAGTATGTTAGTATAAACGTTAAGTAACAAATTTTACATTAAAGGGACTTTTTTAATGGGTTATGTGTTACCTTTACTTATTAAATATCATGTTCTTCGCACTTAAACCATACAATTCAGTTCAAGAGCAATATTGCAAAGTAATTTTAAAATGAGCATATCTTTAAAATTCCCGATACACAATCTCGCCTGCTGGAGATAAAAAATGTTTTTTCTGTACAACGTTGCCATTGTTCGCTTTGAAATCCTTGAGTTTGTTAATTAAAAATTCGTTAAAGTTTTACAAAATATGAAATCGATAATAAAACAAATTTCAAATTTGGGTTTCCAGATGCCCATATTCATTTTTGTACCATATTGCTCGCCTTGAAATCCTTGAGTTTGTTAACTCTCAGTCACTGACTCTTAGCTGACTCGTCTATGCACTCACTGACTGACTATCAACTCGATAGACGAGAGACTAACTCTCCACGTATCAGCAGGGCTTATATAGCTTTTGGCTTGTGTTTGAGAACATTCTGGGCTAAACCAGTAAGAATTCATTCCAGAAGGTTCTTCATCCATCTATGGCATATCACCAATTTTACCGCCAAATGGCCAGTTTCTCACCAAATATGGAAATCCTAAGCCTGCTTTGCGGGGAAGCTATGCTACTGCACTTGGACATTTCGTAACAATATTTACAACAAATACATAATTATAATGTATTTGCAGGCTGCATAAAATTGCTTTAGCCAGTATTAGCAGCCTGTAAGCTGTCAGCTTGACACTACTGCACTAGTCCACGCAATCTTGCTTATGATGTGATCAATTGTAAATAAGTTTTTTACTTTACGTTTAGAGAAACTACCATAATTTCCGGAAGAAAGGCCACGTCAGCGTAAATGCCGCACTCGATAAAAAGGGCGGGGGGGAAATTAAAATTACACAGAAACGCCGCAATAGATTAATTGCGCGTAACATCATCGTGGGCCGTATAGATGCAAAATTTCAACCTATGTCTTAATATATGACATATAAGTTAAGAAGAATGCATGAAATGAAATCATAACTCAAAAATAAATTAAAAGTAAGAAATGTTGAAAATATATTTGCGTTCACGAATATACGTATATATACCCACTAAAGAAGTCCATATTTGTAATACTCAGACTATATTATAAAAAATGTTGCAACAACAAACTGTTAAATTTGGATTACAAAAGGAAATTTTAAATTTTACTTACAAAAGGAATTACAGCAAACTATACATCATATGAAGCCGTCAACTATACATCAAAAGTGAAGAATCATCTGATTCTTCACTTTCTGAATTAAAAAGATTTAGTAAATCCTGATCTAAGTCCAAGTCTTCCAGATCGTCACATTCATCCTCTTGGTTTACAGTCTCTTTATCTAAAGATATAATTTCAGCTTCTTTGATTCCTGCTATTATTGACGATGCTTTTACCGATTTCCACGCACTTCCTACCCACTTTGCAACTTCTTCATAAGATGCTCTATGCATTTTGCCGCTTTTGGTATACGTATGCAATCCTTCACTCATCCAACACTCCCACCGCTTTCAGACTTCAGCTTTGAAAGATTTATTACCTGACAAATCTAATGGTTGTAAGATTTTTCTCAAACCACCAGGAATTATTGCTACGGTCGTAGACAATTTTTTACATCTGGTTTTCATTGACTCGAGTAAATGAGCACGCATCATTATCAATAACCCTTTTGGTTGGAAAAAAGATCCCTTACGATACTGCCAAACTTTTTGTAGCAACTCGTGCATGATTGTTTCGCACATCCAGCCGTTCTCGTTTGCACAAATAATTACGTCATTAGGAAAATCTCCCTTCGGAATAGTTTTCCGTTTAAAAATGATCATCGGCTTTAGCTTGTCACCATTTGCGGCACAAGCTAACACACATGTAAATGACGTCCTTTCATGCCCCATCGTAAGCACAGATACAGTTTTTGCACCAGTTTCATCAACAGTTTGTTTGCAGAAGTGTCGAAAGCTAACAGCATTTCATCCATATTTATTATCTTTGACCGAAGAAGTTTTCTTTTGTCAATAATATCTGTCACATATTTTAGAAAAGATGCCTTTTTATCCCACCAGTCCATTGGTAATTGTTGCCCGACTGTTGTTCTAGTTTTTTTCTTTTCATAAATCTGCTACACCATCAAGGCCCTCCTTTGAAATCATTTATGTTCATTTGCTTTGCTATAAATTTTGCATGAAAGCGAATTTTTACAGTCGAAATTGCCATTCCTTTTTTTCGTTGCTTCTTTATCCAGTTTGCAAGGTCATCTTCTAGATTCGGCCACCTTACAGTTCCACTTCTTTTGGCTCGTTTCTGTTGTGGCATATATTTAAGTTCTTCTTTTTCAGTTCTCCAACATCAAATACATCTCTTGTCCACTTCAAACTCTCGAGCTGCTGCTCTATTTCCAATTTGTTCAGCACGTGAATACATTAAGCTTAAAACCAGGACTAGAGCTTTTGTGCCATTTAGGTGCCATTTTTAAAAAATTTCCGCTCTTAAAAACTATCCAACAAGTACTTGTACCCAAACAATTCAACAAGTACTTGGACTTAAAGTTAAAAACTGTCCAACAAGTTAAGTTAAAAACTATCCAACAAGTACTTGTAACTTGTACCCAAACTGATGGGATCTGTATCTGGCAGAATGCCAAGAAAAATTGATTCATGCTGAAGGAGAAATACGTTAGAGTTCGTTATTGCGAGGCAGGTGGAGTCGTGTCCACCTTTGAAAAAAATTACAGAAAAGGCAGGGGTGGAGAGAGGATGATTCCTGAAAGATTCATCGAATGCCAGAGGAGAGAGACTATTCAAAATGCTGATTCAGTCTTCAGAATGCTTCTCTGATTTCAAAAAACAAACTGGGGGAAAAGAGAGAAGAATGTTATTGTTCTGAGATCCCGTTTAGGGTGAATAAGCATGTAGGTCCGTTCAAGGGAAAGAATGTAAACAAAATACAAAACAAAAAGCAACTGAGTGGTCTTTTGTGTTGGAACAACTGAGTGGTCTATGTACAATGACAACGCCATCCAAACTATGTACAATGACAAAGTTATTCAAACTATGCACAATGACCATCAAAGGAAATATTTTATTTTTAGTGCACCCAAACGCTGCATGGGTAGAAACACCACAACCGCTGAAAATTTAAGTTTTAAACATGTAAATGCTGCGGCATTTCTTCTGGAAATTACGGTATGTTTTCTCACTCTGTTTGTCATAGTAGTTTGACCTGTATCAGTCATACACTGAGATGCAATTTGTAGATGTTCTTTAATAAAGTTTTATGCCTGAACAACATAGAAGAAATACAATTTATAGTAAGGATTAAAATCGGAATAAAATTGAATCAAGCACAATTAACTACATCCCTGAAATATATTTTTAGTCCAATAAAAACAATAGTCCCTCAGGGACTATTGTTTTCATTTTGCAATTTTGTGGCAAAACTCTGAATGTCCGTTTCTTTTTTTAAACTATTGCCACTGAATATTATCACCCAGTATTATATTTGAAGAAATTAAGTAATGAAAAATCTGCATAAATGTATATATGTTTCTTGCATTGTGGTAAAAAAAAACGGTACCTAGAGCCATCCAATTTTGAATGGCGTAATACTACTGCAAATATGGGCATGTGGAAGCACAAATTTGGAATTTGTTTTATTATCAATTTCATATTTTGCAAAACAAGCGAGCAATGGCAACGTTGTACAGGAAAACATTTTTATCTCCAGTGCGCGAGACTCTGTATCGGAATTCTAAAGATATGCTCAATTTAAAACTATTTTGCGATATTGAACTGAATTTTATGGTTTAAATGCGAAGAACGTGATATTTAATAAATAAAGGTAATACACAAAATGTTACAAAAATGCCACTTTGAACATAATTTAACCCTTTGCGGCATGGTGGGTCAATATATGTCCCACCTAATTAATATTTATTTTCTCAGTTAGCAATTTCCGTTAGAAATTTTCTAATTTTTTTAAAATAATCTATTGTAGTTATTATTTTTCTCAGTAGATGTCACTACTATACCAGGGCTTAAGTTTATAAGCAAAAAATATTCAAAATAGGATCACAAGAGTGATATCCATGTAGCTCGCATTTTTCAATATTTTAAAAATTTTGGCATACAATTTATGATACGTATGATTCTTTTTAATATTCAAAGGTATTTTATTTTCAAAAATCTTAATTGTATTCAATATTTTATAACATTAATTTTGCAGTTGAAATAAGTGGGTTAAAATTTGTCCCACCACACACTTGAATTTCCGCTCAATAGATGGCAGCACTCACGATTATTTTTTCTTTTCTTATTTGCATCTAATTTTTTCGTGATTGCGCGCGCTTTTACATCCGTTGTATGCTCTGATGTGCTAAAATGTCTAGAAAAAATTAACAACTCAGGAAGCTTTGGATCTTTTTGCTGAATTGCCATCCGATTGCGACTCAAATGCTTCAGATGTCAGTTCTGATTCAGATGAAATTGAAATCCATTAGAGAATAGCTGAAATTGAAGTTATTGCTGAAAAAAAAAGGGGAGTAGTATAATTTGTTTCACTTTTTAAACACACAGACCCATCTATGCATGTGGCACTGTAAATATGAATCGGAAGTATCTACCCAAAAATTTAAAAGACAAATTTATATCAAGAGAATATATAGACTTTTCAGTTAGCGATGATTCAATTTATTGCATAAAATGGAAGGATAAAAAATCCGTTTTTATACTGTCTTGCTTGAAAAAGGCAACTGAAATGAAAGAAATTAATAGAAAAGAATGAAATGGAAAGACAAAGTACTGTGCCCAAACAGCATTATTTCATACAATAAGAACATGGGATATGTCGACTGATTGATCAACTGAAAGGACTATATGAAATAGACTGCAAAAGCAAGAAATGGTGGCACATGATTTTTTTTTACTTTCTAGATGCGAGTATAGTAAATGCATTTATTCTATTTAAGTTTGTTCGTGAACCCGATCATGATGTAAAAACAATGAAAGATTTTCTTCTCTCAGTTATAGAAGGTCTAATGGCACTTGCAGGCAAGAAAGAGCTGAAAAGAAAACTGAAATCCCCAGTTCAAATAAAAACTAAAAACCCGTTCGTACAACCAGAAAAGAGACTAAAAAATGTAAGTCACATGCCAAAGAGAACGAACAGGAGAAGATGTGCATATTGCAGCACATCGAAAGAAAAACGACGAACATTTTGGATGTGTGAAACATGTGAAGTGCCTCTATGCTTACAAAAGAATGAAACAACATGTTTTTCAAAGTTTCATGAAAAATGACTTTTTTAAAATTTTAATCATATATAAATGTTTTCCAATCAAGTGCCAATTTTAATATTTAGTATCATATGTACGAGTATCAAATTTTAATCTTAAAATAATAATCAAGAAAATATTTTCTTTTGTTCCTAAAATTTAAAAATATTAAATATATATATGCAAAATGTGCATATGCAAAATTTTACAAGTCATGCATATATGCAAAAAGTACAAAATGCATTTTAGTGTGTTTATTATGAATATTTTAGAATGCACGCTTTATTTTGTTGATTCATTCCACATATGATTTTTTTCCTGCTATACACCAATATGCTATAAGACATGTGCTAGTTGCATGGTGGGACAAACGGTATCCCACCTTCCTTCGTAAAAAATAAAAGTGCAGAGTATTTTTCAAGCCTTAAAGGCACTTAAGTAAGTCCATCTGACTTATTCTAAGGCATTTTTTTAAAGATTAAAATATATTTTAAATATGCGTGTCGCAAAGGGTTAAAATCTGAAACCTTTCAAATTTTCTTTTTTATTCTTAGTAAATCTTGGTTATCCAACATGGCATGCTCTGCAGTCATCTTACCATGCCTCCCTCTAAAGCCACTATTGTTTGCCTATGCATGTTTGCGTTATATGCCAAACTCGCATACTCCTAGATTTATCTTGTAAAAATAGAGATTTATCTTGTAAAAATAGAGATTTGTTTGTGTAAATCACAGATTTTGAGTGAAGTAATTTGTTTTGTAATCGTTTTATGTTAGGAAGACATATCGAAAGGAAGAATATTCTTTTGAACTGAAGAAAAAACAAGATGCTGTGACTTCCACTAAACAGTGAGTAGTTACAAATTTTTCAATACTTCTTTCATGTTTTTCAAAAAGAGAAAATAAAGGGGAAAGTCTTAATGCATTCTGTGTATGAACGACATGTTTATTTTTAAATGGTTTAGTTTTGATTTCTTTGTTAAATTCAATTTTTAGGTAATTGTCATCGTCACAGTGAAAATTTCAAAAGTTTTTAGTTGTAAAATTTTGTTAAACCCCCTTCCCCCCAAAAAAGTGGAAAATTTTTGTAACACCTCATTTTTCACAGCTTTGAAAGTTTCTCATAAAATGTAGAAATAGTATTTATAGGTTAAAAATACATCAGGAGCTGTTTATATTTTGTTCTATTTCAAGTTTAATTATTTTCAGTCATAAAATAGCCATTGTGACGAACCTGCATTTATCCATGGCGGCCCGTAGAGCAGTCACAAAACATCCGATGGTTCAGTTTTCTAATGCTATTTATTATTCGTTATATTTACATATTTACAACTGTCCTATTGTTAGGTGGACTACCTTCACAGAAATCATGTTGCCTAATCAAACGACATTTCGTTTCTACTTACATGCATTGCACTACTGCCAAGCAGCGCCCTCTACTTCTCTCTTTACAACACTCCCCACCTGTGAACTCTTTAAGTTCACACAAACCGAATACAAAATAAACCAGTAATTTCTAAATCAAACACAACATTTGAATACTCTATAAACTACATCAAATTACAAATAACAATTAAGTAATGTTTAAACACATTAAATCAACTTATAAAGTAATTACTAAATAAGAAACATTATACTAAATCAAAATTCGCAATAATTATATAAACTAAACTACATTTAGCAAAAATCAATAAAGATACTCAGAAGATGATATATGTGCAAACAACAAATTAGATTATTACACTGTAACTCTTTACTACTAATTATGCACTTCAAGGTTGTACAGCAATTGTACTGGTCTCTTTAGATTACCTGTTTGAGTTTTAATGAGACAAGAGCGAACCTGACCATCTCTGCCAGGATAAGTTTCTATTATCTTACCTAGTGTCCACAAATTCCTAGGTAAACGGTCGTCATGTACAAGGACTACGTCATTAACATTAAAATAAGTGACCAGACACTTTAGTAGGTGGACATAAATTCACAGATCTTAAAGAAAGCAAGTAATCCTTCCTCCACCTATTCCAAAAGTGGTTTAACAAGGTTTGTTGATGTTTATACCTTTTGATCAAGGAATGTCTAGACCCAATCAAGTCTTCTCTGCACACTCTTGTAACTGGAAGAGAAAGTAAACGTTTACCAATTAAGAAATGAGCAGGAGTTAGCGGTGAGGGTTCTGAAGGGTCATTGTAGACATACGTTATGGGTCTTGAATTAATTATGGCTTCGATTTCTACGAAGACTGTTTCTAGCTCATTCAAAGAGAGACTAGAACGTCCAACTATTTTCCTTAAACAAGTTTTGATCGTTCTAAAATGCCTTTCCCAGAACCCTCCCCACCATGCTCCTTTTTCCACAATAAACTTCCATGTTATACCGTGGGAAGAAAACAAATTTTGTACAGATGGATGTTGAATACACTTCCAAATTTTTTCGCAACTCGAGATCAGCACATTTGAATGTCTTGGCATTGTCCGAATATATCGTTGAGCACAATCCACGACGAGAAAAATAAACCTGCGAAACGCAAGCATGAAATTCTCCACGCTCATAGAAGGGACAAGTTCTAGATGTAAAGCTCGAGTTGTAGCACATGTAAACATAATGTTTATTCTTGCTGTCCTTTGTAAAGAAGGGACCAGCATAATCCAGCCCTGTTACAGAAAATGGAGATGATTGAAGAACACGATCAGGTGGTAAAGGAGCGGTTTCCTGTGTACCGGCACGCACCTTGTATCGTTTACACAAAAAGCACTTACTTAACGTGGACTTGACGAATTGGCGTCCTTTTTTACTTTTCTCTAATATCGGCTAAGGTAGCTTCGACTCCAGCATGAAACAATTTGTTATGAGACTCAAAAATTACTAGTTCACTGTATCTATCTTTATAAGGTAACAGCCATGGGTGTTTTTCTTCGAAAGCAAAGTCTGAGAATTGAAGTCTGCCCTTTAAACGCAGAAGACCATGGGTATCCAATTCTGGGTTAAGTGAATAAATCGACGATGTCTTTTCTAAGCATTTTTCCACTTGATAGATCTAGAATCTCTTTCGCAAAGTATTTTCGCTGTGTAACTTTTACCCAATAGAGCTCAGCTCGCGAAATCTCAACAGAGCTTAATGGACCTTTGACTTTCACTGAATTTCGTTTTATATTGTTGGTAAACCGCATAACATAAGCCGTAATTCGATACACCTTCAGCAGCCTGCTGAATCGCGTTAACTCTAGTAATGCCGAAGATTCTACGTCTTGAACAGAAACATGAAGAGATGTTTGCATCCTTGCTTCGTTCTGAACGCTCTCCTCGTCGATGTTGGTCTGTTGATTTACTGGCCAAACACTTTCAGGTTGAGAAAGCCAGCTAGGTCCCTGTAACCAAAGGGAACTTCTCACAAGATTAAAGGCATTTTCTCCTCGAGATAAAAGGTCAGCAGGGTTTTCACTCCCACTGCAGTGAAACCAGCATTCAGGATCCGTGAGTGACTGAATATCAGAAACTCGGTTTGATACAAAGGGTTTCCAGTTTCTTGCACATCCCTTTATCCAGTAGATAGTTATTTGGCTATCACTCCAAAGAAACTTTTGATGACACAGTTCAGGAAACAGCTTTGTCAAATACATAGACAATTTGGCGGCTACTAAAGCAGCCATCAACTCCAAACGAGGTAAAGTCATAGTCTTGAGTGGAGCTACGCGACCCTTCTTTGCGGTAATGAAACTGGTGCAAATAATGTTTTCTGAATCAAGGTATCTAAAGTATGCTACTGCGCCGTACGCTTTAGGGCTAGCGTCAGCAAATACATGAAGACTAACATTAGATTTTTCACTACTACCAAAATATTTTCTCGGAAGAGAAAACTCCTCCAACACTTTTAATTCAGCTTGCCAGCGACTCCAGTCCTTAACTTATTTCTAATGGAAGGGTATCATCCCAGTCCACACCTAATGTCCAAATTTTTTGTAACAGAATTTTCATTTTCATCACAAAGGGTTGAAACACACCAATTGGATCGTAAACTTTGGCCACCCTTTGGAGAATAGTCCTTTTTGTGGCCTCAGCACTGTCATGGGATAAATTTCCTAAAAATTCGCAATTCAACTTGATCTTATCTGCTTCAGAGTTCCAGATCATGCCCAAAAATTTTGACTCTTTAGCTGGTTCTATGTTATAACCTTTTCCAATCCACCAGGAATTAAGTTCCTCGGAATTTGACCTTAATTTTCTCAAATTCATCTCAGCGTCTTTAAAAATCTTAACCGCGTCTGAGGATAATCGAACATGCATCTTCAATAGTGTCTGCACCGTAGTATAAATCGTCTACATATAACGAGGAATCTAACATTTCATAACTTTCTGGATTTGTGCTTTTATATTTTTTAATGTGGAATTTTATCGTCATCGCTAAAATTGCTGGACTACAGCAAAGTCCGAATGGAAGACGTTTAAACCTTAAAACTTTATATTTTTCCTCACTATTCCCGAACCAAAGAAATTTTAAATATTCCCTATCCTTTTCTAAGATTCCTATCATTAAAAAGGCCTTAGCTAAATCTCCGCTGAAAGCAATTTCATATTTCCGAAATTTTAAAATTATGTCCAAAACCACGGGGATCAAACTAGGTCCAATGTCTAAAAAATCATTTAAGGACTTTACACCTTTAGTTCTAGAAGAGCTCGCGTCGTAAACAATCCTACAACTTGTGGTTTCCTTAGGTTTTATTATTTCCCTGTGCGGCATAAAATACGATGCCTCCGTTATTTCCTGTGAACACTTCTCAACTATACCCTCCTTCATTTGCTCTTCAATTACGGATTTATACTGCTGATAAATCTCAGGATTTCTAATAAGTCTATTTTTAAGACTTTCAAATCGTCTTAATGCTACTCCGAAATTATTTTCTAATTGCCCTGCTTCCGATTTCCATAATAAACTGACATAGTATCTATTACCTTCTACCCGTATTTCCTTTTCAAAGCTCTGAATCATTTCTCTCACCTCGTTAGAAATCGCTGAGTCATCGGTAAGGCCCATCAAATCTAAAGTCCATAACGATCTCAATGAATCAGTTACGCAAGAAGAAAGATTGCCGTGTTTTGAGATACTATTTCGCTCTCTTTATCTTGAAGGCCAACTGGGACCCATCCAAACATAGTAGAAATCGCATAAATTTCCTTTCCTAATTGAATCTTTTTTCCCCCCTTACCATCTATAATCCACACCTATTAGAATTCCAACGCTTCTTTTACATAAACAAGCGATTCGCAATCCGCACTCATTCATCATTTTTAGTGTTTGTTTTGACGGCGTGGTCATATGCGCAGCCGTAATGGCGTCAGTGACGAGACAGCTGATTTTTATTTGTTCTTTTGCTTCGCATCCGAAACACAGAATTCGACAACCTTATATGTTTTAGGTACTGCGTATTTCATTCCGAAAGAATAAATAGACAATGTTTCTTCTCCAACAAATTTTAAGTTTAATTTCTTAACTACACTAATATGAACAAAACTTCGTGTAGCACCACAATCGAAAATTAAATTAGTTAACTCTGACTTTCCCTCATAATGAGCTAACACTGAACAGGTTTGCAATAAAGCATTTTTCTTCAATGATTTATCACAAGGAACAACAGAAAGCGTGTGTTCTTTCGGGGAGTTTTGTGTTTCATCTACTGAATTATCTCGCGAGCTTTCGCACAATTCTTTTATGTTTTGATTTGAAGCCGTTCGCGCTTTGTTACGATTTGAACTACTCGTACATAGTGACTCATGATGCGACTTAAACCCGCATTTTAAGCAGTTAGTTTTATTTCTGCACGATTTCCAAATGTGATATTTTCGAAAACAAA